TGTGTGTGTGTGTGTGTGTGTGTGTGTGAGTGTGTGTGTGTGTGTGTGTGTGTGTATGGGTGTGTGTGTGTGTGTGTGTGTGTGTGTGTGTGTGTGTGTGTGTGTGTGTGTGTGTGTGTGTAAGCCACATATAGAACATTACAGCAAAGCAAACTTTTACTAAATTTGATCTCTTTGTATTTTATCCTGCTGGTGAGTGCAGCTGAGAATCGGAAGAAGCCCTAACCCCGCTGGGCCATCGAGTCATCGTTAAGCATCAACAGCCGTTATTTATATGCTAATGTTTTAAACTACCACACATAAAACAAACAGAGGAAGACCTGAAGATCAGAATCGAGCCCGCCAGTCTACACCACGGCGACCTCATAAACGTCAGCTGCTCGGTCAGTATCTACCTAGACGGGAGATATTACATGGGAGCGGTGCAACTGGGCATCATGAACGGGGGAAAATGTATTGGAGGCCAAGAATGGGGTACAAACACGGATGTAAACTTGTACACATTAAGAGCAAACCAAGTCTACTACGCCAATATCAGCAACCCGACATACACCTGTGCCTTCTTTGCCGAGGGCAAGCAGCTAAGCTATCTTGGCAATAAGCTTTATGATATCAAAGTTGTTGGCACAGAGGAGATAAACGCCTCTGTATACGGTTAGATGAATGTGTGCGTGTTTAGTGTGTGCGTGTGTGCGTGCGTGTGTGTGCGCGTGTGTGTATGTGCGCGTGTGTGTATGTGCGTGCGTGCGTGTGTGTTATAATATTTTTGGACATGTGTGTAACAAAATTTGATTAAAACAACATTAAAACTATCGCCCGGCACTGAGAATACCTACCTTAATTTTCCTTCAAATATCAAATCATAAAGCTATTTTATCCATCCCGAAGCAGAACTCGGTGTGAACGCTAACATAACGATGTGATAGGAGACTAGCGTCACATCCAATTGTCTCATTCTGTAATAATATTCTCCATTTATTCAAATTCAACTTTAATTGAAAAAAAACAAAACAAAAACGTCCTCTTGACCCAGAAACAGCCGAAAGCATACCACCAACGACACCGACAACCACCACAGTTCCTATCTCGACAGCGGGAAAAACCACAAAAAAAATTGAAGCAGTGACCAAAGGAGCAAAAATGCTTGTTTTACTTGTGGCGGTATGCATCATCGGCGGCGGGTTGGTCTTCATGTATACCAGGGCTGATAAAAAGCAAACTCCCGAAGGTTTGATTTTTTTATCATTTTGCTAGTGGTTTCTCACTTTTCGTCTAGCATTTTCTTACTATTCTATTGCCACTGTTTTGGATAACTTTATTTGGCTATTATCATAGCAAATTATTATGACGACGAAGACGATGAGGATGATAAAGTCATTGTTTAGAAATGAATCTGTTGAATTTAGCTTTGCATATTTTTTTCAGATCCCGAAAAGATAAACTCATCTAAAAGTTATTATCATTAGTAGTAGCAGTAGTATCCACATTAGTAGTAGCAGTAGTAGCAGTATTAGTAGTAGTAGTAGTCAGTGGCGTCACTAGGGGGGTGCGGTGGGTGCGGACCGCACCGGGTGAGACCCTCACAGGGGGTGACACCAAAATATCACTGTATATGTTTTTATGTCCCTCCATGAAATTATTCTTATCATTAATTCAGCCTAACCCAGAAATGTGTTATGAATAAAATTTTTTTCGTTCAAATCATTTTTGTATTCGACGTTTATACCATTTTTTTTATTATTATTCTTTAAAAATCAGGATCTGACAGACGCAGAAACTGTAACCATTCAAAATCGACATCCGAATTATTAAGCGCTGCGGCCGAGCACATTTAACTTGTTCGTGTTTATAAATTTTGCTAAGAATGCTGTATGCCTATGGGGTGTCATGAGAGGCGTGACACCATGAGTTACCGCACCGGGTGACACCAACCCTAGTGACGCCACTGGTAGTAGTAGCAGTATTAGTAGTAGTGGTAGTAGTAGTAGTAGTAGTAGTAGTAGTAGAAGTAAAAGTATTTTTACTATTTTCATTATTCTTCATACTATTCAGAGTCGGAAAAGAAAAAAATCGAAAAATCGAAAACGAGCCTGGCGTCCAAAATAAAATCGAAAGCGAGCCTGGCGTCCAAATTAAAATCGAAAGTTTCGAAATCGAAACTGGCCTCCAAATCGAACCTCTCTTTCAGTAAAGAATTATTATGCATAATTAATGAATAATAATATTATTATTATTCTAATTTTATTAATTTCATTAGCCTGTTAATGACACTGTTGCATTTTATTTTTTTCTTTTTCAGAGAAAAAAAAATCCAAAATAGAAAGTAAAACTGGATTTTAGATTTAAAAATTCATTCGTTCATTCATTCATTCACTTTGGATTCAAAATATTTAACCATAAATTCACTACACATTCCTCCATTCGTTAGTTTCTCCAAACATTGAGCCATGATTCATTCACTCACATAGACATTCATCCATCCATCCATTCATTCATTTATTCCTTCATTCATTTATTAACCCATTAATTCATTCCCTCATTCATTTCTTCACTCATTCAGTCATTCATCCATACATGCAAATTTCGTATTAACTTGCCTACAATAATATCATAAGCAAACGCCGACACAACCGAGTTTCTCTCAACATTCAAATAACAAACTCAATTTATTGTCATTAATTCATTTAATAATATCAAAATTCTTTTTT